TATCTATCACTCAATGGATTTTTGTAGGAACCGTGGACGTTATGAAAATAGTTGTCACGTGGGCTTTCTCAGCCGACCTTTGAGACTTGACACCTATGTGAAACACCTGAAACAATCTAAGTGATCAGTTGAGAAACGAACACGGGTTATAATATTCCGAAACGATGTATATCTTGATTGTTACAGAGACATGTGACATCGAATAAGTTTCTTTGTACAGCTGCAGACGAGTGGGCTATTGTTCCTTTGTGTGGATATTCACGGATACATTACTCGAACAAGGAAGCTGCCTAAAATTTATACACATAAATTTGGTAGGTTGTACTTATGGTATTTGCATTTTGTTTTCCTTCATTTGCTGTAGCATTGAACCGATTCGTCCTTGTTTTTCTACGTCTTGGTTGGGAAATTCTTCAATGCGCGATAGACGTTGTTTTCACAGGCCTTTTCCCTTGTAAGCGTGTATATATTACCGTCAATTTGTAAAATATAATTCTCTCAGGCAATTTATAAAATGTGTAAATATTTCAGTCATTTTGACTAAAAAAATCTGTCCAGATTGATTTAGACGATCAAAAGGGCCTACAAACATCACAACAGATTATTATGTAGGATTAGAAGCCAAACAACACAGAAATGTACTTTTCAGTCTCTTGGTGATGACATTAAACATCAAAATGTTTGGAATTCGTTATCATAATAATACAGATGGAAATGTTTTTCAGTCACTTTGTTAAATAACTGAATATTTAGGCGTTTAATAAATTTTAAAATGTTACACATTTTGACAAAAATATACACACTATCAAAAAGCAATGCTCAGGTGAAACTTTGTGTTGCAAGTTAAAATAGTGTAAACGAAAATCGCAAAATTACCAAGCAAGTGACTTATCAAAACTACGTCACCATTACCGATGCTACCCACAAAGATACTTACATTTCCTTATTATCTTGAAAACTGTATTTCATTTTGTTGATCAATGTGACCATACGCCCTTATTACTACCCATACAAGTGACTAATGCGCTTACGAATGGCGCAGCAGAGTTCGCAAACTAGTCTAGATTTCTGCTATACATCCGGGTACTCACTGGGAAAAAAACAATAACAAAGGCAACAACCAGTCCCGGGGAATTGCGTTAGATCAGTGCCCCTTTAAAGGTGTATCCCTCGTACTCATGCTTACATTCATACACACCCCTCACACCATACATCCCAGTATAACTATATCCGCCCTCATGTATCCCTCGTACTCATGCTTACATTCATACACACCCCTCTCGCCATACATCACACTTTAACTATATCCGCCCTCATGTATCCCTCGTACTCATGCTTACATACATACACACCCCTCTCACCATACATCCCAGTATAACTATATCCGCCCTCATGTATCCCTCGTACTCATGCTTACATACATACACACCCCTCACACCATACATCCCAGTATAACTATATCCGCCCTCATGTATCCCTCGTACTCATGCTTACATACATACACACCCCTCTCACCATACATCCCAGTATAACTATATCCGCCCTCATGTATCCCTCGTACTCATGCTTACATACATACACACCCTTCTCACCATACGCCCCACTATAACTATATCCGCCCTCATGTATCCCTCGTACTCATGCTTACATACATACACACCCTTCTCACCATACGCCCCACTATAACTTTATCCGCCTTCATGTATCCTGTGGTCACCATTATGAAGACCCGCTACATTACGTCTTTGTTTGTTGCAATTATAATCAAATTAGAAGCAATTTATTAAATTACATAAAAGGATATAATATTAATACAGTACTTTACGGATTCTTGAAGATTTTAACTTAAATAATACACCAAACCCTAGCATATAATATGCATGTATCTTGTGTACATTATGCAGTAGGTAATATCACGTTTAACCCTATCATTCTGACGATAAACCTGGACACAACTGGTCACTCTTGATAACTGAAGACCAAGGTATTTTTTCTGTAAATATTATGTATACACCATAACTAGATCAGATTTCTATGTTGGAAGAGATATTCAAATAAGCGTTGTCTTGTTTACCAATCCCAAATTTCAGTTGAAATACAAATATGTTTAAACCATGTATTCATTGCGTGCATCCAATAACATGTGTCAAATATGGTAAATATATCATAGTATGTACATTTCTATCAGTAAACAGAGATTGTTCTAAAACAATAGATTTTCTCCGTCTAAACATCAAAGAAAGAGAGGCAGCCAGGGATTTTACAATGGCATCAGAACGCATTAAGACTGGTCAGTAGGTGAGAGTACAATAAACTTCATGATCAGTTACACTTACTTACTTACTTACTTTGGAGATTTAACGTGCGTATTTCGCACACGGGCCCGGCCAGGCCATTTAATGTGTTTCCGAAAGGGGCGAAGGTGGTCTGTGCAACCCAAGAGGGGGGTTTTAGGGGTTGCTTATATAGAATTTGGGAATTTTGAGATTTGGAATAGATGCCGATGGGATTGGGGAGGAGAACTAAGGGAGCTGGGTATGGTGGATGTTTGTTTGTTTATGTGATTTTGATTTGGTAGGTTATTGTGTTTTTAGATGCGTTTTATTAGTTCCGTTTTTATTAAGAATACGCCTAAGGCCTTGAAGTTTTCTAGTTTATTTTGTGGGTTTAGTATTGCTTCTAGAGTTAGAGCCTTGTTTAGATTGAGGGTGGTTTGTAATGCGGTTCGATGTGTTAGGTAGTGTGTGCAGTGGATGAGTGTGTGTTCTGGGGTTTCTGGTTGTTTGCAGTGTGGGCAGTTACCTGTAGTGTGTTTTTTAAATTTTTTTAGGTGGTTATTTAGGTTGGTGTGTCCTGTTTGGAGTTTAGTGATTACTCTGTCGATTTTTTTGGATGGATGGAGAATTTTTGGTTTGGTTAGTGGTTTGCTGAGCACTTTTTTGATTTGGCTATTTGAGTTTAGATACAGGTTATGCCATTTTTTTGTGATTTTTTGCTTGTTTACACTTTTAATTTCTGATTTTGAGATAGGTAAGTTTAAGCTTATTTCTGGGATTTTGAGGGATAGTTTAGCTGCTTTATCGGCGTTTTCATTACCGTATATTCCTACGTGGGTGGGTATCCACAAGAAGGTTATTTGTTTGCCTGCCTTAGTTAGGTCGTTGGAGCTTTTAAGTATTTGATTTATTAATTTAGGTCGGTTTTTGGTATTTTTGTTTTGGAGGGCTTGCAGTCCACTTAGGGAGTCGGTAAGTATTAGGATTTTTTTGTGGTTTTTGGATTCTTGATTATGGAGGGCTGAGGCCATGCCCATTAGTTCTGCCGTGAATATTGATTGGTTGTTTGGGAGTCGGAAGGATTGTGTGGTTTTAGTTGGTTGTGTGGTATGGACTCCGAAACCTGTGTGTTTGGAGGTCGGATCTGAGGATCCGTCCTGATCAGTTACAGATCACCATAACGAATATATAATATCCGAATGAAGATTGCAGCTCGCTTTAAGTACATTGTATCCTCAGCAGTTTGATTTTTGCATATACGATTGCTATTCACTTGCTATAACACTTGATGCGATGAGCATATTGGTATAAGTGGATTAGCCATCAAATGCTGTTACTTTAAAGCATATTACTTTTTGTAAGAATTATAAAGTGGACTTTTGGAGGCGTCTCAGGATATCTATCAGAATGTGTTTTCTATCATTCACCACTAATTATAACAGGATATTGGAAACATATATAGACTGCCTGACTGTAGATAGGATTTGCCCGGCCGGGCCCGTGTGCGAAATACGCTCCAGTCGGAAAGCGCACGTAAAATCTCCTAATATAAGTAAGTAAGTAAGATAGGATTTGTGATCTTAACAATTGCCGGGTGCGACAAAGTATACATGATCTCATTAGGGGATACCAAGGGTATCAGTTTAATATAAGGGGAAGTTTGTAGTGAATACATAATAGCATGTAGATTTCTAATCCTTTCTTTCTCTGTGGGTAATCCTTTCAACCTGATGGGAGGAGGTCACTCAACCGGTTCATGCATTCTTTGTCAAAGAAGATCAGACTTGGTTAGAATCTGTGTTTATCTGAGACTAGTTTCCGAGCAGTCGGATGAGGTAAAAAGACAACTAAAAATTTGTACAAACATTTACGAAATAGTCTTTCCGGGTTTGAACTCGATCATGATTATTTTACACAACATAGATAATTTGCTCAATGTTCCTTATCTTGGACTATTATAAAAAAGATTAATTTTAAACATGTTACGTTTAATATAAGAATATTCATAAATGAGTTGTTTCCTTCGTTTAAAAAAGAATATTCATGAATGAGTTGTGTCCTCTCTTTTTTAAATGAAGAACAAAGAGTAAAACATATTTCCTATGTGACCTCCAGCTGATGACATTTAGTGAACTTGACATGTGATGATGACTTTTAATGTTCATATTATAATAGTTTATCAAAGTGTAAATAAAACTGTAATATAAATTATTAATATATTCAATGTGAGGAAATTTCATTACGGGCTGTTGTCCGAATTGGGAATTGTCGTTGTGGGGGAAATGTCCTACACTCCATTAATATAGGGTGTGGTACATAAACAATGAGCCAACACTCCCGCGTTGTTAATGTGCTTATTTTAGAACTAATATGTGGCAATGAGTATGATAACCTTATTATTCAGATCTTCGGAGAGGCAGCAGCAGAAGCCAGCACAGGCTTGTTTTGTCCTATCCGTTTTAAAAAAACCCGTTATAAAACAGTGTCAAACCATACCTACATTGTTTTCTGTGATGCATGATGCAGGTACATGTGATCTTGTCTTCTTAACTTCTTAACATTCACTCACTTCATTAGTGCAGGCGCACATGCATAACTAAACACAACGACATGAGAATGTTTCAATTTTGGCCCTCCCTCACTTACTCACATGTACTTACTTTGGAGATTTAACGTGCGCTTTCCGACTGATGCGTATTTAATGTCTTTCCGAAAGGGGCGAAAGTGGTGTGTGCAACCCAAGAGGGGGCTTTAGGGGTTGCTTATATAGAATTTGGGAATTTTGAGATTAGTTTACTGAACATTTATAAACAACCGGTATCGATACATAACATGTTCGGGCATAACCTCTGGTGTCGAATTCAAAGTAACGTCAAATAAATCATACACTGCATAGCAATCCTATTCCAGGGAAGGAATGTTAAGAACAAGACGACAAAAATGACTCACAGTGCAATGTCTTTGAAGTCATTATTCTATATTCTAAGCAAACACGATGCCATCTCTTTGATGGCTTCTCACACTTATCATCCGGATTTCAAGAAAAAACATTCAATTCCTTTTTGACATCAATAGAGGGGCTTTGACATGCCGACGCCGTTGCGAAAGGACGCCAAGCGTGCCATCTTACTGGTGTCTATTGTATTCTCAAGTGCTGAAACAACATCGTTTTCTCCCCGTCTGTAGTAAACCTTTGCTGCCCTAGACTTAAAACAACAACAGTGGTCATTGGCACTGATTGGTAACGGCTTATTTACCAACGGCTTTGAGTCAAATGACTATAAATAACGTTTCAACGAATATAGCTTAACATCCCAAACCATGGAGGAGACAACTAGCGTACGTGTTGGCACTCGTGTTCAGGCTCTTGACACCGAATCCGGCAAGTGGAGATCCGGGTGTGTAGTGGATGTTGACCTAGTTTGGAGGAAAGTCAACGTCCATTTCGACAACTTCCCCAAGAAATGGAACACTTGGATTTCCATAGGTACGTTTCTGTTTTATAAATGTTTATTCGCATGTTTATAAGACAATATACGTACATTACACAGTGATACGTTTGAAATAGCTGCAGGAAACCGAAAACCAGACGGTAAAATATGATAATTTAACCTATAAATTTTAAATGCCATAATATCAACACAACAGTCGATGCAGTATGTACTTATGATGATATGGCTCACATTCCCAGATTGTTATGAATATATATTACATGAGAGACATAACATGTACATGCTACACTAGGTCAGATCCTTAGCTAACAATCTGATTCTATAGTCTACACATGTAGACATTGGGGAGGCGTGGTAAAAGGTTTGCCATCAGTACCACAGTACGTCTGGCGGTGTTTTTCACGGGTGTATAAAATCAATAATAATGTGTAATAATGTGTAAAAGAAGGCCATACAGGTGATCAGTTATGTCATGACCACGACGAACCTGTAGATGCGTGAAAACCCTAAACTATTTATACTTCAGAGAATATTGCTCTGTCATTTTGGCATTTGCGACATACCAGACAATGGGATCACTATAATATGATATGTCAATTACAGGCAACATGGAAGATGAAGTTTCGTCATTCCTTAGTCAGCTGGACGATGACACTTTCAGTGCAGTGACTATCCGGGGAAACCGAGAGAGCAGGAACTGTTTACCTGGACCCAGGCTGTTTAGCCCTACAGTCGAACAAAAACTTGCTGTGCTGCTCCTTGAAATCTACGACCAGAACAACGTATTGTCTCAAGGAGTTTTGAGCCGATTGACTGCTGGAGAACAACAAATGCAGGGCGAATCACTCATTAGAATCATGGAGATTCTTGTTTGGGATTTCCATCTCTATTGTTTAGATAAAGGTAAGCAAATCATATCGAGTATTCTCTAAAATGTATCCCCAATCAACAATACATATACCAATGTATTTTACGCCACGTAAATCAAGAGTTTTTCTTTGCTTCATGGCAATCGTTTTAAATATGAGCAGGAAATGGGTTTCTTAACATATCTATGTTACGACCTTCACCATGACACTGCATGGAACATTTGAAACAAGGAAGTGTAAGCACACAAATATTATAGTCTTATCACTCGTTTTGTACACGTACATACGATTATTATACTATTAGAATAACTCCAATATATAACTTACTTTTGAATGTTCAGGATTCACAAGGACCATCGTACCTGAACGGTTGGTTGATCGTCGTCAACCAAAGGGAACACAGGCATCCGAAGAATCGCGTAAATTGACTGGAGGGGATTGCTTTTTTCATCGTGTCAATGGGAGGATATTCGATGCATCTGTGTACGTTAATGACCCTTTCCTAGGAATGATCATCACGTCAAACAAGCGATGCATTCCGTACGAGGACATTGTCTTAACAGTAAGTGCAAACAATGTCCACGTGTACCAAATCGTTATTAAAACAAGAGTAGCCTTGTACATATATAGATGCAGGATGGCTCTCGTTAATCTTGTGCAATTCTGTCTGGTTGGTCTTCATTTCAAGATTATCATTGTATTCCTAGTACAACGCCAGTTCCTGTAATACCATCATAATATATAAAATACCTGTCCAAAAAGTAGGATAATCTGTACTAAGAGAGTTGTTTCCCAAATATAACATTTGTTTCATTTGTGACCACTTTCTAAATGACAATTTGTAGGTAGTCGAGAAGCACGAATGTAACTTTTGTAAAAAAAATATTTATATCGAATTCTATACTGAAATGTCAATTTGTTTGCAAATAGTATTGTGTAAACTACAATACACACATTTGTAGCCTTGGCTTCGTATATGCTTATGTACAGTTGACATTGTTTTCCAGGGTTACCAGCAATCCAGACACACAGCTTCGTGTACACCAGAAGAGACAGGTTCAGAGGTAACTATACACGCCGTGGCGTACACCCTACAGTTCTATATTAGTTTTTAATACCTTTCGATGACAAGAACTTCACCTAATATAATACTGTTCTATCTCCATTGACTAATGATTAATCTTTCATTCAGGTTGAAAGCTTTCAACTGTACCTCAGTGAGAGCGGGAATGAAAGTGATACAGGCCGTGATCCAACATGGACACTTCCCCCCAAGTCTCCGCCAGAGGTTGTTGTACCTTCTACAATGGTAAATATTACATAGTAATGACTGAATAACTGAAAATGTACACGTTAGACGTACATTTGTTTGATTTAGAGATACAAAGGGAGGATGTCAATTAAAATAAGAAAATATGTCACTCACGGAAAACTGTTATAAATGAAATAATCTGGAGGTACAATGAAGCTCTGATTATAAAATACTAGTAGATCTTAAATTGGCATTATTCAATTCAGCAACAATATTTCATGCCAATGTTCCAATTGGAATTTAATGCAAATTGCATAGATTATCTGTGCATGTAATCCATTTGACTTACTTTGACAATGATTTCAACAGCTACATATGCAAGTATGTAATTACATCAGAAAGCGGCCTGTATATATGTCATAAATTGATGTGTTTACACCTGAACAGACATGACCCATGAAACGAATGATAACTTACGTTACACAGTGAATTATATACAGCTGTGAAAAAATGGCAATAACTTATTGATTGACGAACTTAACATACGATGTTTTTTCACCATTGATAACCTTTGCATTTTATTCCGATTCATTTTAATTTCAGGGTACTCGCACGACCAGTATAAGAAAGAGGAAACGAGAGGTTTGTAGCGTTTACATTACTGCATGGTTGTGTGGATTATATTTAGTAACTGTTATATATAAATTTTCACTTTCTCTTTTCGTTTCTCTGCAAATGATGTCCTAAAACATTTCGTAATATATATTAATTTTGTATCTCATAGGATATGCAGCAAGAGCAAGAGCGAACCAAGAAAAGGACAAATCCTGCGAAGAAGGTGAATTTAGGTTTCCTTCTCATCACTGTCATGACTAATTATTTTAGTAAAGAATTTATCTCGTCTTATTAACCAGACTTCTGAGAAAGTATGAGCAAGTTGGTAGCTAAGTTATAACCTGAGTTGCCCGTGCATGTATGTTGTATGACCTAACAATCTTCTTCACATCGTTATAGTTCCTGATTCTTGGAAGAGGACCGGCATCAGGCAAGTCGACGAATGCATCGTCTCCTCCAACTTCCCCACTTGCATCGCCTGAAACGACGCTGTGCACAACACGATCACCACGCCATGCATCTACCTCAACAACAGGACTGTCTGACCCTTCCAGTGACGCAGATATCGTCACACTGAAACTTGAAGTCGCCAGCCTCAAAAAGGAAATCAAGGAATTGCGACTGTTGGTAGAGTCGATGGTTTCTGACACCACGCCGCCTTCACCAATATCAGTCCTTCCATTACCTGCCCTGTCTCCGTTAAACAATGCATTGTCGTCACCACCACTGTCATCATCTCCCCTCTCAACGACATTCACTCTAAAGCCATCCGCCACGTCCATAACATCAACGCACTCTAACATCATCACAGAAAGCAGATTTTGGGATCTGCGGGTAGCAGATTTGCCATGCAAAATATGCGATATCAACATTAAAACCTCCCTGGACTCACGGAATACTCAACAGGACGTAGTAGAAGAAGCAAGGCAGCGAGGTGGACGGAGCCGTAAGCAGCTGGCAAAAGAACTTTATAAAACTGTTTTCACCCTGCGAGAAACGTATAAAAGAAATGTGTACGGGATGATAAAGTCAGGCCAGAACGTCACTGTCCAGCCATTTGACATCGCAAAGATGGCCATGATATTTGATGTCGTATTCAATACCTTCCCACCCAAGGACAAAGCAAAGGAAAAACAAGAATGTGTAGACGCCATCAATCAAGTAAACAGATACGTGTGGGGTCGGCGAATGAAAGGAATTGAAATTCCACCAATGATATAAATGAAATGTAATGTTACTTATCCTATGTATCTGCTGTTAATAATTCACAACTTTAACTTTATCTTCAACTTTAAATATTGTTCAATTAGTAGCGTCACGTTGGTTTTCAATGTCCATTTCCACCTCTGTAGAGATATATGCAATTGCCTTTGAATATATATATATATAGGATGGCGGGACTTCGACTGTGCTATTTTCCATGCTAAATATATTTAGTTACTCTCAAATGCAAACCCATCAATGCTTTCAAGTAACATGTCAATACAAGTGTATTTAGGTAAGTCAGTTATTCCCAGTTTTCCCGTGTACATAGAATTCTTGTTAAAATTAATCCCTTGAAATCAGTTTTATTCGTCACTTCATGTAATAGTGTCTTTTGGCGGAATCGTGTGCAAACATCAACCATGATCGTCTCAAAACAACGCCCGGTAGTGAGCACAGTCCATAAGAAAATGAACTTTCATTAACAGCCGAAAACGTCATTGTCGCTTATTTGTCGACCCCTAGTGGCTAATGTGTACATAAAAACTGACCTTTTTGTATATTAAAGTATTTTGTATCCTTAAGTTTTGTATCGGCACATGCGTGTCGCTATACTATTTTTTATGTATAGCTCTTATTTTGAGCATGATATACGAAAATATAATGTTTGTCCGTCTGTTAAACTTGTTCGTTTTATTTCCATATCCTAATAACAGAAACTACATTAATATATTTGATCCCTGATAACTGGAATTCTTTTCCACGGAATAAAAAAACCGTGTGATTGCTACACTGCGCCTCATATACATGAACTAGCGTCCATTGTAATGTGTTATTATACGGTCCCAAGTATTTTGTGTAAAAAGAATAGACTTTAGTCTTGGCACAATAAAGACAGATGATATTCATTATGGTAATCAACATTTAATAACAACCAATACTTCTATTGGTTATTTGGTATCATAGTTGTTTAGACGCATTCTTAATTGCATTCATTATTAATTCCTAACGCATTTTTACAGCTGGCACTTTGAAAAATAAGGAATACAAAAGTGCGTTCAAAACCCAGACGCAGCGCCATCTACTTCTAACACCCTTGGTAGAACTGCGTCGAGACCACGGATAAGTCTGCAGCATGCTCCTGGATCCATCGTTGCCCAGAATGCATTAATGCCATTTATAAGTTCATCCTTTGTTCGCGGTTTCACCCGACGTCTAATATGCCATTTCAACGAAGCCCAAGCTTTCTCGATTGGGTTGAGATCTGGAGATTCTGGAGGCGTTGGCCAGTGGTGAATCCCGTTTGAAGATAGCCACTGTGTTGTACTCCTACTGGTATGCTTGGGATCGTTGTCCTGCATTAGTCTATGACCATCTGGGTATTTGTCCTGAATGAAAGGCACTAAGAACTCCTTTAGAATGTCTTGATAAGCCTCGCTGTCCATAGTCCCCGTGAAGAGACAAATATCTGTTGCGCCACATCTTGAAATCCCTGCCCAAACATGTACTTGATATGGATGTTTTGGGCGGCTTTTAAATTTTGGTGGACTCCCTTTCTTCCGAAAACATTTCTTTAGCGTTGACTCTAGCTTCACTGTGCACTCATCCGTGAATATGACATCATCAAATGTATCATTCGACGTCATGACCTGCTCACAAAAGTGTTTTCGTTTCACCCGGTTCGGTTGGCGAATGAGTTGACAGTATCGAGTCTGTTTCTGAACCCAGCCGAGTCTGTTCCGTTCACGACAAATTGTAACCGTTGAAACAGATTTACCCTTTTTACTTTCAAGCAGACGTTGTAACTCAGGAGAGTACGTTTCGTCATCTGAGTGCATAACGCCGTCTATGTAGCTGATGTCAGAATCCGTCAAGATGCGAGGTCTGCCGCTCCTTGCCCTGTCACTAACACGACCGGTTTCCTTGTATCTTCTGGAGGTCATCTGAAGTGATTTTATTGAGACTTTCCACATATCTTCTTGTAGCAATCTCGCTTGTATCACAGGATATGTGAGATGTTGTTGACGAAGAAGTATTATCTTGTGTCGCAAATAGCTGGGAATCCTTGATCCTCCCACAAACCTGTCGATATCGTTCATATCTGTTGCGCTTCTGTCCTAATGAGCATTACATGTGTTCTTAAGTGTAAGGACGTCTTAAATGCCATTGGTTAACGCTGTGATTCAATTCTGTGCACAGCTGAATCTACCCTACTCCAATATACAAGCGTCTCTTTGATAGGCATTATGAATACAATTTGCTGGAAGGTGGGTTTCATCATCCTCGTTTGTGATGTTATATAAGTGGTCCTGTTATTTCGTGCACCTGCTTAGCATTGTGAGTAGACAATGTAATTAATTATCCGAGTTGTCTCGCTATAAGTTACACAATAAACCGTGGGTTGCTTTTTTATTGGAGTAGATATTCTGAGTATATTGTTCATTGTGATTAATGCTTCGGTCCGATCTACCCTCGAGAATAAAGAATTCATCCAATCACAACCACAGTTACCTAGCTCTGATTGCAAACACTCGACATTTGTATACATGTACATGCATCATCCTTTGCACAAACCAAGTGATTAACGTGCAGAAACTCATTTACAACTTACCACTATGTGGAACAGATAAACAACGCAGTATTTGACCCATCATTTTAAAACCATGTATGTATGATGACTTTGAAAAGCATTTAGAAGTGAAACACATAAGGGAATCATCTACATTGTATATTATCGGGAACACAGCGTTTCGGGGTGTATACTTATTCCTTCACTCGAGGAATATTACTCCGAAACAATGTGTTCCTAATATTAAAGAAGTTGTCATCCATAAATTCTCTTCCTTGCATATGTATGTATCATCCGTGTATCATCTGATTTTTATTTCGTTTTAAGGAAACTTAAAGACCCCAATATCAGAAGTATAAGCTTCATAGGCACATCAAACCGAAATGTGGTTTATCCTGAATCTTGAATGAAATGAAACAGAGACTGTGATGGCCTCTGTTAACATTCAGCATTTCAGAACGTAAATCCTTAGTTGTATGAATCAGATGAACCGAGAACCAAAATCGGGGTGAATCTAGAAAAAACAGTGTATTCAGGCACCATTGGGAATTACGTTCTCATACACGAAAAATACACTTTTTAAGAACATCCATGTAAAGCAGTGTACTGTTAGTGGACGTAACCACCTACACCTCTCTAAATATAACAAGAGGAACACGCTTAATATAGCTCCAGGTTAGAATGAATATACATGTACATGTACATGTACATGTATCTTCGCATCCTATATACATGTGGAAGTAACACGCGACAGCATTTCTGAGGTGTACATGTACATGTAGTGTACCAATATGGCGCCACTTTTGCGGCACTATTACCCCCTTTTGCGGCACTATCGCGATACTATCGCGCCACTTTAACGGCACTATCGCGCCACTTTTGCGGCACTATCGCGCCACTTTCACGGCACTATCGCGCCACTTTCACAGCACTATCGCGTCACTTTTGCGCCACTAACGCGAAACTTCACGCCATTTACGCGCCATTTTCGAGTCACTTTCGCGATACTTTCAAGGCACTTTCACGAACGTATCGCGAAATAGTTTCGCGATACAGGGGAAGTTACTTTTGAAATGTAGTGTATGTACTGATACATGGTGGGAGGAGGGTGTATGTATGTAAGCTCTGATACATGGTGGGAGGAGGGTGTATGTATGTAAGCTCTGATACATGGTCGGAGTAGGGTGTATGTATGTAAGCTCTGATACATGGTGGGAGGAGGGTGTATGTATGTAAGCTCTGATACATGGTGGGAGAAGGGTGTATGTATGTAAGCTCTGATACATGGTCGGAGGAGGGTGTATGTATGTAAACTCTGATACATGGTGGGAGGAGGGTGTATGTATGTATGCACTGATACATGGTGGGAGGAGGGTGTATGTATGTATGTACTGATACATGGTGGGAGGAGGGTGTATGTAAGCGCTGATACATGGTGGGAGGAGGGTGTATGTATGTATGCACTGATACATGGTGGGAGGAGGGTGTATGTATGTATGCACTGATACATGGTGGGAGGAGGGTGTATGCATGTATGTACTGATACATGGTGGGAGGAGGGTGTATGTATGTATGTACTGATACATGGTGGGAGGAGGGTGTATGTATGTATGTACTGATACATGGTGGGAGGAGGGTGTATGTATGTATGTACTGATACATGGTGGGAGGAGGGTGTATGTATGTATGCACTGATACATGGTGGGAGGAGGGTGTTTGTATGTATGCACTGATACATGGTGGGAGGAGGATGTATGTATGTATGTACTGATACATGGTGGGAGGAGGGTGTGTGTATGTAAGCAGTGATACATGGTGGGATGAGGGTGTATGTATGTATGCACTGATACATGGTGGGAGGAGGGTGTATGTATGTAAGCACTGATACATGGTGGGAGGAGGGTGTATGTATGTAAGCACTGATACGTGGTGGGAGGAGGGTGTGTGTATGTAAGCAGTGATACATGGTGGGATGAGGGTGTATGTATGTATGCACTGATACATGGTGGGATGAGGGTGTATGTATGTATGTATGTACTGATACATGGTGGGAGGAGGGTGTTTGTATGTATGTACTGATACATGGTGGGATGAGGGTGTATGTATGTATGTACTGATACATGGTGGGAGGAGGGTGTATGTATGTATGCACTGATACATGGTGGGAGGAGGGTGTATGTATGTATGTACTGATACATGGTGGGAGGAGGGTGTATGTATGTATGCACTGATACATGGTGGGAGGAGGGTGTATGTATGTATGTACTGATACATGGTGGGATGAGGGTGTATGTATGTATGTACTGATACATGGTGGGAGGAGGGTGTATGTATGTATGCACTGATACATGGTGGGAGGAGGGTGTTTGTATGTATGTACTGATACATGGTGGGAGGAGGGTGTATGTATGTATGCACTGATACATGGTGGGAGGAGGGTGTATGTATGTATGCACTGATACATGGTGGGAGGAGGGTGTATGTATGTATGTACTGATACATGGTGGGAGGAGGGTGTATGTATGTATGCACTGATACATGGTGGGAGGAGGGTGTATATAAGCAGTGAGACGGCCCCTATAATCCTCTATTGTTTTACCAATCAACACGCTTCATTGGTTATCTTTTTACAAAAATGCTTTTTGCAACAGAATGATTTGGTTTTCTTTTGACATTGTTTCTGGTAAATATTCCCTGGACAGAGAAGATATTGGCGATACTGGTCCCATGCATCGTTTGATATTTTTAAACAATTCAATTCATAAATATTTTTTTATTTTTTCAATCATTTTACATTTATTTAATACAATGTGACGTTCCTGTACATAGTTGATTAATCATCGAAATAGATGATGGCAAGTTGACCAAAATTTATAGAATAGGCCAAGTAGTATAGGTAATAGGGGTTCTGGACCACTTCCACTGGAGCCGGATTCATATACCAATACCACCACTACAGGAGGAATTTTTTATGCCAAAATGATTATGCGATTCAACGATAGTCATGAGATTCAGCTAAATTGGCTCCAGCTCACCACCACCTGGAGTCTATGATATAAATTTTTATAGGTAATGGGGGTTCTGGACCACTTCCACTGGAGCCAGATTTATTACCTATACTGCTACTACAGGGGGGATTTTTTATGCCAAAATGATTATGCGATTTAACGATAGTCATGAGATTGGCTCTAGCTCACCAATACCTGGGGCCAATCGTTGCTTTAGATGAGTCTAAATGGTAATAAAAATATTCTTTATTATTTTTATTGATAAACGATATTCAACATTTTTATTAAGTTCTTCGTTCATTTTACTAGGAGACCAGACTATATAACTACACTCTTCTTGTAAATTGATAAGAAACAATTGATAACCGTATTTGGTTGGTTTGACATCACTGATATAATAAAAACCTTGTGGTAATTCTCTCCATTTAATAGCTTTCTCCATTATTATATATTTATGTAAGCATTTGTCTAAATGTAATCACACGATAGTAAGCAATCTATTTTTAATCTCCAACCAGTTCTTTGGTTTTGGCACGGAATAATTGACGCGCTTGTTGCCTCCCCTGTTCTATGAACTTTTTTTTCTCCTCTTCGCTAATACCACTGGTCTTACGAGATTTTGATCGAATCTCCTGCTTCATTTCGTTGTATTTGGTGAGTTCCGACAGCACTAAACGAAACTCATCCTCGGATATCTTACAATCGGCCATTGCTGTCGAAATATGATCCTCAACTTTGCTTCGGCGAGTATCCGAATACTATTGTTTTTTAATGCTTTCTTTTGTAACCTACGAGAAATGAATTTTATCGCTATTCCCGCTTCAATTTTTTATATTTTAATGACGAGAAAGATTCCGTTCTACCGCTATTATATTTTTAATTTTTCACTGGAACAAATTTGAGTAGAGTTGAAGGACTTTCTAGTTGAATATTATTTGTCGTACTGATTTGATCAAGATGGATACACAACTCTTTATAGGGAACAAAATCGGACAATGTGTCTCCATCAAATGTTGCCTTGAATATTGATAAAATTCCGCGTGTAAATCCAAGTGTAGCTGATAAGTTCCCTACAATCCGTACACCTTTTTCTCCAGTGTCGAATTTCAACATTCCATTCGACTCATTTTGTGTTAGACTAATTCCATTAGACTTAAAAATTTCATCATTGAGTGAGCATACGCTGTAATACCCATCAGGTATA